TGGGACGCAAATTGTTCAGCTAGTAGATTTTCTTTTTCTATGGCTGTTGTTGCAATTGAACCATCTGCTTGTGTTAGTGGTGGAATTGTGGATTTCGTGAAGTTTCGATTGACACCTTCAGCTACCGACCAGAAGGATCTAGACCCCTTGGAATTGGCAAGCAGTTTATCCCTAATTCTCTGATTGTGAAGTTTGCAGATGCTGCCAGCATAAGAAAACCTAGTTTGATTTCTCGACACTGGGATTTTTGCGCCACTGCCAGTAGGCGAGATTTCTGGAAGCGACAGCTTGCTCGCAATTTTTCTTGAACCAAGGTTTGCCTTCAGAAGGTCGTTTCATTGAAAAAGTAATATATGCATCCATGGATGAGTACCAAAATACAATGAGATGATGACCCATCTCATTGTATTTTGGTGCTATTTCAACTTAGCTCACCCTCATGAAGTTTGAGCACATTTTTCAATTCAGGTTTACTTTTTCCAGCAGCTTCACATACTTGCTGTTGAAAAAAATTGAGTCTTATCTAAACAAATTATAATGGATTTCCAAAAAGTATCATATATCAAGTAATGGACTTTATATTTCATATTTCTATCAATACTTCACAACGAAGCAGTTCGAACCTCATTGCAATTTTCCAGTTTGTAACGAACTTGTGGAAACAGTAACTATGATATTCATAAACATCATCGAACATATATATTTAGCAATGCCAAGTGAAAACAGGAATGCCCCAAGGAAGTATTGCAGGATCCTTGTTACCGTTAACACTATTCATGTGATAATTCAAGCACAGATAAATCCATTACATAATTTGCCATTGATGTGAAATACAGAACATGTAGCACACAAGAAAAATTTGATGATTTCTCAACAACAATCAAACGATGAACAACAATAAAGATTTTACGCTCTTTATTCTCTATATTTTCATTGAAAAATCGACATCTTTTCTTATCATTTTTCTCTTGTAGTGTTTTAAATTCATTATTCTCATCTAGTCTCTTGTTTCAATACCTGCTTTTCATTATTTGACACACTTTCATTATTTGACAAAAATTGTTTTCATAGTGAATGAAAACATTTTTGAAGAGGGAATTTCACACGTATCTATGAATGTGAAATATCAATTCAAATAACTAATACTTACTGATGATGATGGTGACTGCAGAACGCGATATCAACATGATATGTTAATTGCATTTCAAAATTAGTAAAAAATAAAATGGGTGCATACATGCAGTATGCACGTAGCAATTATTCGATTTAATTTAGCTATTTATGTTTAGCGATATTTTTCATAAACAGTGCATCATCAAGCATATCTCTTGTATAAATAATTAATGTGTTTCAGTTGAATGAATTACAATTTTGAGTTGAATTGCCTTCAACACACTTTGAAAAATATTGTGATAATTACAATTTTATTTTTGTGAGTATTATGAATCAACGATCGGGTATATTCAATTATGTTCCAGATAAGTATGCGTCTAATGTTTATTTTTCTACACCCGTACTCTAACAATACACTTATATGACCATAATCCGTTTCATAATGATATCCATTATGATAAAAAGTCGCTAATTTCAGATGATATTTCCGAAAAAATGCTACTTCTCCTGAACAACTTAATATGTATATCTATAAATAAAAAGTTTCATATTGGAAGAGGTGAATTTTTAGGACAGACTAACTTTTGAAAAATAAAGGTTTTTGGCTTTCTACTTTTCCATCTTTACACAAAAAAATGTAAGAAACTTTCAAAGAACGAAAAAAAAAAACAGTTAATGTCAGTACGTATTGTCGATAACATAAATTTAACATATTCGTGATATATAGTCGTAATATAATGAATGAACTGAGTCCTTTATCTTGTAATATTATCCATATTGGTGCTGAAGAGGCAATAAGGCAAGTGTTTTATTCCGAAACATCGATATCTAGCAATGAGGATGCCAGTGTCTCATATAAGTGGGAGTTCACTACTTTCATTAATTATATTGTGTAGGAATCCTGTGAATTATATCTGATTCGATTCCATAACGAATGCTTGAAATACACACTGAAGAAGGAAAAAGTGTTTTTTTGTATAATTCAATGTTCTTATGAGAGTATTTGTTTTGATAGAGCTTCTTTCTTTAGATTGTGCTTGAAAATTACTTTCTTGCGTGAATTGCACATCTTTATGAAGAGTTTATTTTCAAAATAATTGCTTTCTTTTTTTCAATGGGAGTTTCCCACATTTTTTGTATGAAGATTAAGGAATCGAAAGACAAAACTTTTCTTTTCTAAAAAGTTCAATATTATCAACATGAAAAGTGTTATGTTGTGGGCACAACAATTCTCAGCGAACGTCATTGCCAAACAAATTGTAAATAGACTAGGAAAAGTTATAAAAATCAACTGAATATTGATTACTGTACTAATTTCAGTATTGATTCAATTAGAAATTTTGATGGCACGGAGACTCAATTAAATGAATCGTATGAATATCTAAATGTCCTCATTGGGGTGTTGGTTCCATTTAAATGGAGCACGAAAATGTAAGTAAGATCATAGACGATTATAGCTGAACGATAAAAGGCTTTAGTGAATTAAACCTGCTACCCCAGAAAAGTTATTCAGGACGTTTATTTCGATCCAGGTCCGGCTCTGGTCATTGTTGAGTGTGTCATATTATTGAGAGATTTTACTAGAACAGCACCTACTCATAAGTGATCTTATTAGTGATCATGATATTTTGATGCTTGGGAGTGTCATTAGACAATTATCTATTGAAGGATAAGAGTATTATTTACCAGCGTGGAACAAGTTAGTACTTCCCAGTACGATGTTTCGGATATGACCTTCATGAAAATGTCGCCTAATCTAAGTGTACTTACATTTTAAATTGAAAGGGTTATATTTTCAGGAATGAAAAATTTTTTGGGAAAGAAAGTTTTTGGTTTTCTACTACTCCATCTTCATACAAAAAAAGTTGGG